GTTAAAGGGCATATACCTGGGTTACAGGTTCGATCCCCAGCCTCAGTTGGGGCACATGTGGGAGGCTACCAATTGGTGTGTCTCACATCGATGTTTCCCTCTCTCTCTCTGCCCCATCCGTCCTTTCCACTCTAAGAATTAATGGAAAAGATATCCTCCAGTGAGGATTAACAAAACAAACAAAAAACCAAAGTCCTAAATTTGCCTTCACTGAACATTTCCCAAAGCTTGTTTCCACCGCTGTGCCTCCAACCAAAGGCTCCTGCTCTGAGCAGCGGGCACTCCCCTTGGTATTCCGCAGAAACACCACACCCCTCAAGCCTGTGATGTCTCCGTGAGGCTCGGGGTCATCTTGTTTTTCTTTTTTTTTTAGTTATTTCAACCACACCTGTGTAGGCTGACTTGAGATTTTTTTTTTTTAAATATATATTTTTATTGATTTCAGAGAGGAAGGGAGTGGGAGAGATAGAAACATCAGTGATCCGTGAGAATCACTGATTGGCTGCCTTCTGAATGTCCCCTACTGGGGATCCAGCCCGCAACCCAGGCATGGGCCCTGACTGGGAATTGAACTGTGACCTCCTGGTTCAGAGGTCAACACTCAACCACTGAGCCATGCCAGCTGGGCTGACTTGAGATTTTAATGAACACCAGGGTGGCCTTCCTCTGTTCTCTGAGAGGCTCAAGCTACCCATCAGGCAAATCACTTACTCTGAAAGCAGATCCTGGTACCAGAAAGCCACGCAAACGCTTAGCCAGTGCTGGCAAACAGCCCCTACAGTCTCATCTGCTTGCATCCCATGTGCAGATAAACAAGCATTCTGGGCTCTATGCACCTTGGTTTTCCTACAAGGACTTGAAGTGGTAAACATACAATTTGATAAGTCACCAGGGGGTTCGCCACTAACAAAGTACACCCCCAAAGGGAGCCCAGTGCTGATTATAGAGATTAGATCATATATGCTTATTACACAACAAAGTGTTTATGTGGTCCCCTGCATAGTGCACACACGCACTCAGCATGAACATGCCACACACAATATGCAGACATACATGTGCATATGCAGATGCTCAGAGGCATGCACGGACAGAGACGCACAGACATGGCACCTGCATGCACACATACAGACTGGCACTCAGACATGCTGACACACATACATGTGCACCCAGGCACCCAGATCCTGCCTTGCTCAGGCAGTGGCCTCTCCTCCCCCAGGACCAGCCCAAGGACATCCAGCCCCTGCAGGTGGAGTACTACCCGCCCAACGGCACCTTCAGTCTACACTACTTCCCTTACTACGGGAACAAGGCGCAGGTAGGTGCTTCCCTCCGCCTACAACAGCTACTGGATCATCTCAAATTCAGCAACGATTGGCAAAAGGAAAACCCTAAGTATCTTACCTCTAAAGACGAAATAAGGCATTACTGAGCCCATCCCGACCATTTACCACTCTCTGGCTGTGTCCCAGACACACGTGCTCCTAACTACCTGAAAATACATTACGTATTCTCACGTGAAATATAAATATTAAATCTAATGGTTGGTTTTCGACAGCCTCCAAGTCCTTTTAGACAACTGCATATCCATTTTAAAGCACCTCTGTCATTCTCTAGCTTTTTCCTGGTGTTTACATTAATTTTCACCAAATCTAATTGGAAGTTGAATTGGTCACTGTTATGGTCTGTCCTCTCCAGAGCAAGTCTCGTTTCTTAGTGGGTAGACAGTGTGGCCCTGGAGAATTTCAGGGCCTGGGGCAGAGCCTATGTGGGCTCTCATACAGAGAGCACGTAAGAGCTGCCTCTGCCACCTGAGCACTGGCACTCAGCACAGGCTCCTGACCCTCTGCCCTCCCCACGCTTCCGTTTCAGCCGCACTACAGCAACCCGCTGGTGGCCGCGAAGCTCCTCAATGTCCCCGGGAACACAGAAGTGGTCATCGTGTGCAAGGTCCTGGCAGAACATGTGACCTACGACAACCCCCACGACCCCTTCGAAGGGAAGGTGGAATTCAAGCTTAAAATTGAGAACTGAAGGACCCCGGAGGCCGGCCTTAACCTGCACAGTAACTCGCAGACCTCCACCCTCCACGGGGCTGCCCGCCGTCTCCGCACCAAGCCAGCCCTCCGGTGTCCCAAACGCCAACACGAAGGCAGCTCCGAGACGCCAGACAGACAACCGTACGGCAAGCACTTCGCGTCAGAATCGACTATGTCTTATCAAGTCTTTATTATTTCTTAGGTAGGATTTGTAGCTCCAATAAAAATGCTGGGTTACTGTGGTAATCCTGAGGCAGAAGCTATCTAACAAAACCCTAAGTAATTTAACTCGTTCTATACAGACATCACTTCGCTTACTATAACTTATTTTTTCTTTAAGTCAATGAACTACCACCCATGTTAATATAGACTATCGGTACGTTGATATAAATGTACATGATAATGTACATCCAGGATGCTTGCTTCAAAAAAAAAAATGCAGTTTCTAAATTATAAAAATAAATATATTAAAAAGTCACTCTTACTCTATATAAAACAGTCATGTGTTTCCTGATATGGGGAATGGGAGGTAATCAACTTTTTTCAAACACCACTTTTTTCTTTTTTTTGAAATCCTCTTTTTGAAATTTCCATTGCAAGTCAGGGAAATCACAAAACCATGTTACAGAGGGACGGATGCCTGAGGGCAGGCACAGTTTCAGGTCGTACGAACCAGAGGTAATTACAACCAGTTAACCTTCCCTTCACCGCACAAGTCCTTCCTCCAACACCCGGAACTCGGGTGAAGTCTGCAGCTCTAGGCCTTTCGAAAAAAAACTGAAATGGGAACATTGTGTGTGAATGAAGCTGCTCTCCCCAAGCGCCGCCCACTTTCCACCCGAACCACAGCACGAGGCCTGTGGCCCTCTTCCCACGGGAGTGCCAGACACGTCGCCACAGACAGCTGCACCCAGGCACCCAGGAGACCTGTCAGCGTGAAACCCAGTCACAAGCACAGTGTTTGACGAGAGGATCAAAACCCTGTGAGTATTCTGGAAGGCCAACTGAGTCGTTATTTGTGGGGCAGCACTACTACTGAAGACATTAGCAAGTGTTCTTCACTGCTGACACAACCAGTGAAGACTTTCTGAGCCAAGCTGGCCGGTGTGGCCCGTGTGGTTGAGCATCGAACCATAAACCAGGAGGAGGTCTCTGTGAGATTCACGGTCAGGGCACATGCCCGCGTTGCGGGCCTGATCCCCAGTAGGAGTGTGAAAGAGGCAGCCAGCCAATAATTCTCTCTCATTGTTGATGTTTTTCTCTTTCCTTCCTCTCTGAAATCAATAAAAACATATTAAAAAAAAAAAATGCTTGAGCCATCTCAGAAATGTCACATCAGAGGTCAGAGGTCAGGTCCCCTCAGATATGCCATGATAATGTAACATTGAAGGTCAGAGGTCCGATCTCTTTTCTTACCTTACCATCTTCTTTTTTCTGAAAGTCACCCCGTAAAATACGCCTCCACTGTGAGGAGTCAGGAGAAAGGCAAGAAACACTCTCTCCCCCCACCACTGGCCGCAGGAGAGGGGCTGCTCTGGTCTGTGCCACGGGGGCATCCTTCTTGGGGCCACGCCCTGGCTCCGAAAGCTGCAGGACAAGCTGAGGGGCCCGTGGTCGGGTCCCAGCCCCCTACTCCCGGGCCTGGCAACTTCTCCTCACTCCAGCAAAAAGCAAGACTAACACGATAAAATAACTTCTAGACAGTAATCCTGAATTAGAGAAACACAGCTTGTTTAAAATGCCCATGCGTGTTTTTATTAATAAAAACTAACAGTGCCAAGTTAAACAAGTCAAACAATTAAAGTCTCTTTATATTCCATAAAATATTACAGAAAAATTTATTTGTGTTTCAATAAAAAGACTATTGTTTTAGAACAGGCAGCTAACAGCAACTGTGCAGTTAATGGTTCTTTGTGGATAAATTTTAAAAGAAGCTACTGCCTGTCCTGAAATTCCTTTTTCTTTTTATAAAAAAAGAACTATTAAAAATGATTGACAAATTTTGAGTTAAAAAACTGTTAAAACATTCTCCATATTTAATTTCAACTTTATAATAGATTACAGGAAGATGCTCATGAAACAAATACAACCTTTGTTTCAGTACATGTCTTTAAATGATAGACTTATAAGTATGTAAACAACTATATAATAAAAAGTTTTCAAATGCTGCCTGTAAGAAATCAGGCAAATTTTACCATAAGCAAAAAACCATCCCAAGATTTCCAGAGTTTTCACACTGCACCAGCACGGCAGGAAAACTACCAAACCGAACACACACAAACACAAATGAACAACTTTGAATGCTTGCTTCACGGTGGACAAAAAAGAGAAAAAGAAAAAAAAAAAAAAGAAAGGAAAAGTATATGGGATCGCACAGTCAATATAATTTAAGGGGAAATATGTCAAAATAGGCTTTGTGGTGCTCAGTGTTGGAAAGCAGCTCCGCCGTGGCTCTGAGGACGCCCCAGACGGTCACAAACGGGAGTTCCTGGAGCCGCACGCTCTGCCGGAGGGTGGCGCCCCGCAGAGCACGCGGCAAGTAAGTGGCCTTCGGAGCGGCCTCGACTGGAGGACGGCATTTTCGTTGATGTAGATGGAAGTACAACTTCTTCAGCAAACTCAGCAAAAATTGTTAAGGGGCAAAAAAGGAACTCGGAATTAAAAAAAAAAAAAAAAAAGAAAAGAAAAATGAAAACACAAAATCCTACAAAGTAAAAGCCCTGCGCCAGCGACTAGAATCCACACACCGCAGCCCGTCTAAGACCCTGCAGAAAACAGCCCTCGCTTGCTTATCAGAGGTGCTTGCTTATCAGAGGTGCACGTCAAATGCAATAGCTTACCAATATCTTCTTGGGAGGAAGCCAAAAAGAAACAGGAAAGCCCACATTAAGAAAAGTTTCTCTTTTCCTAAACATGTTTTCCTGAAGCTGAACGTGAGGGGAGCGGGGCCCGTGAGCAAATGCATCAGTCTTCCTCGTCGTTTTCGTACTCCTCGTCGTCGTCCTCGTCCTCCCCGACGTAGGACACGGGAGTCTCCACCCGGGACCCGCTGTACTGAGACCCACTGGAGCTCGTGGCCAGCATCCCGTCCGCACCGTTGGTCAGGTCACTGCCAGGACAGGAAAGGACACAGGGTTGTCAGTGGCCTGTATCCGCCTTCCGCGTGCATCTCAGGGAGGCTTGGGTAGTTTCAGTGATACAAACGGAAGCAGCAAGTTTCACGCATCCACGACACCGAGGGCCCACACTGTTACTGGTTCCACCCCTTTCATACCCTCTCCTACCCAACCACGTCCTCTTGAATATAACCAAGACGACGAGGGGAAAAATGGACAAGGCCACGATACTGCATCTTCCTCCCCCAACTATCATTACATCAAAAACAGGGTCCCAAAGTTATAAACTGAAAAGTTATTAGATCCTCTTTCCAGTCCTTTGCCTTAGGAACTCCTTAATTTCTAGGAAGGATGGCATGGGACCCTCCAAAGCAAGGCTCCCTGGACAGCGGCATGCGGCAGCATGTCCATTGTGTGTTGTGTACCTGTGATGGCAGGTGTGTGCATGTATATGCACGTATCTATGCATGCATGTGTAAATCACAGCCCTAGGCCCCAACCTCGGCTCCTCTGGTGTCCACAGAGAGCCCACGGAGCTCAGCTAGGACAGGGGAGTCTCATGCAGACACTCTCTCTGAAACCTATACTCCAGAAAGGTTCCGAGGACCTCCAGCCTTCTACAGTTTAGTGAAATGGTATTTGCTGCTCTAGCCGGTTTGGATAAGTGGATAGAACATTGGCCTGCAGACTGAAGGGTCCCAGGTTGGACTCTGGTCAAGGGCACATGCCCAGGTTGTGGGCTCGATTCCCAGTAGGGGGCGTGCAGGAGGCAACCGATCTCTCTCTCTCTCTCTCTCTCTCTCTCTCTCTCTCTTTCTCTCTCTCTCTCTTTCTCTCTTCCCTTCCTCTCTGAAATCAATAAAAATATATTTAAAATGGCATTTGCTGTAAGTCAGTGGAGCTGGCCCTGGGCCAGGACCTAGAGGGAGCAGCTGGGCTGCACAACCTTCCACATGGTCCTTGGTGGAGGGTAGAGGGGGGAGAGGGTCTGCATTATGCTCCTGGGAACCTCAACCAGGAACACGTGAAAATCTGGCGTCACAACTAAGGGGTACGGTATTTGAGGCCAAAGGTGCTACCAAACAGCCCCAAGGACAGAGGGCACCCACAACAAAGAGCTGTCTGGCCCAAAATGTCAACAGTGCCACAAACTTTGCATATTATGCTTTTATTATTATAGATATATGTTAATACCTTTCACTGGTATTTATTAAGCTGTACAATAAAAACTATTAAACACTGCACCCTTTAACAAAGTAACTCCACATCTGGAAAATCCAGCCTAGCAAAACAAGTCAGGAGGGGTGGAAAACTGAGCCATAAAGCTGCTCATTGCAGTTTTTCTTGTAACTGGAAACCACCTAAATATGCAACAACAGAAAGCAGATCAGTAAACTATCCTGCCTTCATAACATAGTGTATCATGCTACCATTAACGCTGGCTTTTCTTCTGAACTGGTAATGGCTTTGTGGTCCTCATAAAAAGTGACATGAGTCTCTGAAAAGTTCATCAATAAGATGAAATTTCATGAAGATGAAAAGTTTAGAAAACACCCAAATTCCACCTGGAAGTAACCAACGTTTAGCATTTTACAGACTGACCCCTACATACACACACAGCAGGGGCGTGAGAACCAAACACTGAGCTGCCCTCCGTCAAAACCGGACCGCGTGCCAGACGCCCTGGAAAGGACTCTGCCTCCTCACAAAGCCTTCAGCAGATCCATGACTAGCCCATCGCCAGTCCCCACCTCCCGGCTGGCTGGCCTGCAGCGCCTGGAACCTTCCCCAGAGCTGACCTGGAGCCTCGCACCCTTGCCGCTTATGCCCGCCTCCCTCAGGGCCACCTGTGGCCTCGTCTGTGCCACCCAGAAACCCAGAGTGCCCTGTTCAAAGGCTGTGGAGCACCGCGTCAAAGGCATGACACACTGCGGTTTACTGGCCCAATCCCATTTCTGTTGAACCTCCAAGCTACTAATTTATCATATATTTTAAGAAATTAAACATTTGTTAGTACTTAGGATTAATATAAAGATGTATAATGTATACATCTTATATATACAACATCATTATATACAACATAAAAGTTAATAAACCCATCTTTATCTTTAAAATACTAAGAGAAATGCTTAGGATGACAATTCTCTGTGGGACTGCCAGTCAAAGGATAACGGATTTAAATCACAAAGCTTCATTAACAGAAAAAAGTGCAACAGTAGAAGGTAAAGAGAAAAAAAGCCGAGAAGAAAATTATAAATGTACACTGAGACTTCAAGTGTGTTAAAACAGGGAAGAAATGACAGAGAAATACTGTCACTTAGGCTGCAGCAGTGGGGCTCAGGGGGTGTCTGCCTCCAATACGCTGTGTGTGATTTTTTAGGATGAAGAAACCAGTAAGAAAGCTTCCTTCCACTCGGGGGAGAAGCTATGGATGTGTGAAATGCCCTTGGGTGGGAGAGAGGGACTGACATTGCTTCCAGGGCTCAGGTCCCACTGTCTTCACAGCGAGCCCAATGCTGAACAGCTGAGGAATTGAGGCTGTTTATATGAAAGCCGGGGAGCTTCCCATTGTCAGGTGACAAGATGCCCCACCCCACCCACCGAACCTGCCCAGAAGTGCAGTCAGTCACCTGGCAGAAAGCCTTGTGCCGTTAGAGGTTGAAACTGCTGACGTGAGGAATACACTGCCGAGGGATCCCTGAGCCATTTCTGAAACGAGAAGGAAGACAGAGCAAACGTCATGAAGCAGAGACCACAAGAAACAGGTACGGACGCTGAAGCAAGAGGGCCTGGACACCTCTGACCTGCCCAGCCTTTTCTGCACTGTGCCACCTGCGGGAAGCAGCCCCGCTCTCCCCGGGCGTGACCACGGGGCCAGTCCTCTGTAAGGAGGCTCGGAAGTCCTTACTTTCCGTGTAGTCACCAATGACAACAAAGCTATTCCACTGAAATTTCATGTCGTCATACAGCAGAAAGCAGGAACTGAGAGGGAAGACTGACATCTGCTTACTTTGCTGCAGTTGCCAATCAATACCTCCAGAGACATGTCCACCCCTATTAGACAACTCAAAGAATTTCCATCTCTTCCTTTTTGGTGCCCTACCTGGAAGGTGAAGTCATGGCTCACCACCTTTAATCATATAAGCCGCATGGCAAAATCCACAAAATGCCACTTAGGAATTCCCAGCGGGGAGGGGCCCACCAGAGGCTGTCTTGCCAACCACGCCCATTCCCGCAGTCCCCAAGACCCTCTCACGCCCCCACTTGTCCTTGCTCCTGGTGCTGCACACCTGAGCCATTCTCAGTAGAATGAGGATGAGCCACTGTCCTCACTCTAGCCACTCAGCCACCACAGACACAGGGGCCAACTGACCTGTCACATAGGGTTCCAGTGCTTTCGGCACCAAGCTTCTTGCCATTTTCAGGTCTTCAGCAGAGCAGCTTCCGGACTCCAGCCCATAGGCCATCCCCATGCGCTTCAGCACTTCTATGTCGTCATGAATTTCAAATGTGTTGTCAAAATTGAATAGATACTCGAATCTGGAGGAGAAAGTCCCTGTTAGAAAAGTGCCCACTTCAAGACGGAGTTGAACCATTCTTGGTTCAGGGACTATGACCATTCCTCAGGTGCCCTTTCATCTGGCATCTTTTACAAAAATCTGTCATCTAAGAAACAATGACCAGAGAGACTCAGGCAGCATAGCTAACTACACTCTGCAAGCACATCCACAGCTCTGCCTGCCTGCCTTCTTCACAAGACCAGCAGTGAGCACCCTCTACTGGTTGTGCTGTGTCTGAACAGCTGTCCTAAAAACAATCCTATCAGGTGCGATTTGCTTTCCTTCTAAAAGAGAGATGCCTGCCCAGCCTTGGTGGCTCAGTGTTTGAGCGTCGACCTAGGAACCACAACAAGGACACAGTTGTATTTTCGGTCAGGACACATGTCCCAGGTTGCAGGCTTGATCCCCAGCAGGACCATGCAGGAGGCAGCCAATCAATGATTCTCTCTCATTATTGAGGTTTCCGTCTCTCTCTCCCTCTCCCTTCCTCTCTGAAATCAGTAAAAAATATATATATTTAAAAATAAGAGAGAGATACCTAATCAGGGAAAAGAGAAGCAAATTTCTAAATTAAAATGCTAAAAATATTATATTTAATAATAATAGATACTTATATAAATAAACTGACCAGCTGTTAACACCACTGACCGTGGCATTCTTTACTTCTGACCCCAGCTGAGACATGGGGCCAACAGACAACCTACTACACCTACTTGTCATTAGAAATGCTGCAGTCGATGACGGTCTTCTTGCTGGTGTTCACAATGATGAAAGGCAAGTGGATGACAGAGTTGGGCGGAGGTGGCCGGTTAGCCTGCTGCTCTGCCTGGCGGTTTCTCTGCACCAGATTCTTGAAGGCAATTTGCTAAAAAAAAAAAAAAAAAAAAAAAAAAAAAAAAAAAAGCAATCAACACATGATTCATATCAGTCACCACCAAACCTAACAGCTTCTCCCTAGGCATCCTCAAAAACCCTGCCTGGGCCCCACAAGACAGCAAGAGGGTCTGGGCTCACCTCTGGAGGTCAGAGAAAACAAGTGAAAGGCTGAAGGCCCCGGTGAGCTGCCCAGCAAAGAAATGCATCCTAAAATACCAAATCCCCCAAGAACTGAACTGCTGAAACCCACACTCACACCATTTAGACAGAAATACCCTCGCAGAGAAGGATGAGGAGAAACGCATCCATTCTGGAGGTTACGGTCCTCCCACCCTGACTGGGAAGGGCTCTGCGAGTGCCCATGCCTGTCCCATCCATAAGTCACGGCCTTCGAAGGCAGACGTTTGATTGTGGATCTATGACCTCCTGAGAAAGCAGAAAGGCTCCATGGACCTGCTGGTAAAGGGTGTCCCCTCTGGGGACACGGGTCCTCATTTGAGGCCTAAAAGCCAGAAAGCCAGGGCCTTCGAGATAATGTTCTTGCTGTTAATGTAAAGCCAGGAGGATTCCCTCCCTCCCCAGCCAGCGTTCTGCAGAGCTGCCCAGCAACGGGACAGGGGCTCCAGGCTTAGTGGGAGAAGGGCAGAGAATTGGATTTTTTTTTTTTTTTTTAAATAGCTATGATGTGCTATGGATGTGGAAAAAGAAAACAATTCATTCTAGAGGGAGCAACTGAATGGAAGAACTTGAAGTCCAGAGGGGCCACTGCCTGTAGCAATCTCCTCTCCTAGCAAAATCTGGGATCATTTATTTGCTCTTCCAACTCCCCAAGTCCCCTCTGCCCTGCATCCTTCACTGTGACCCCTTCTCCTCCTGGCAAAGCACTCCCTCAGCTGGTCCCCCCAAGAGAGGGTTCTAGACACCTCTTTTAAGGGCAATGGAGTAACCCAGAGTACAGTAAGGTGTCCCCGTGCTGAGCGTGCCTGGCCTGGCAAGACACACACCCTTTACAGTGGACCTTAGGCTCGCTGGACGCCGAGACCCCCAACGGTCTCACCACCACAGGTTCTAACACCTCTGACCCTCTGGTTTCTGGACACAGGCTCCCAAGGCTCCACAGCGGCCTCCAACCTGACCATAGGGTCCATGGCCTTGCTGCCCTTGCAGTCCACAAATATCTCAATAAATTGCTGCTAAGCCATCCTTCCCTTTACTGACCAGTCACCACTTCTGCTGGCTTCTGGCCCTCATGCCCCAGGCAGCGACCCCAGCACTTTACCCACAGCCTCAATCTAGGGACCAGCCAGTCCCCCTCCACCAAGATCCTTACACATGTGTTTGAGTATTTGCTTCTAACCCAGAACATGCATCCTCAGGACCCTACAGGGGTGAGGCTGATGCTCAGGGATATCTCTATAGGCCCAGGAGATGCCAACACAGCTCACTGTCCACCTGCAGGAAATGGACACCTGTTCTCTGACCATCTTTGCTGACCTCTGACCAGTAACTGCCAAGACCCACCTCAGGCTCACTCTGCATCTCACACCGCTGGTCTGGGGTCTGGTACTCAGAGCACAAGTTACACACACCCCAGGGAATTTGTACATGCTCCCTTCCTGAGGGGCTATCACTCCTGCCATTTGGACACCCTGTGACAAGTGATACACCCACTCAAGGCCACACTCACACATGCATGCATGCTCATACATGTGCTCTTACATGCTTGCATACTCTCACAAGCATGCACACTTGCACACACTAACGCTCACACAATTTCTGGCCACTCACAGGCCCATGTTCATGAGCGTTCATATCAACGACACACACACAGGATGAGCCCAGTGAGTATTTATGAAACTCACATCCAAAACCTCAAAGTAGAGATTTTATTCACCATGTAGGAATAGAATGAATTGCAAGTTACTAAAGACATTACAATTACCTTGCCTCCAAAGATAAGCCTTTCATTACCTGTAGAATAAGTTCTTGAAGTTGAGACTGTTTCTGTTTTATTCTTTCAAGTCTTCTTTGTCTCTCTACCTTCAAAAACAAACCACCAATACGAGAAGTCACCGCAATTGGTTTAATACAGCAGAGTTTAAAGCCCGTGTCAACACAATGTCACCACGCAGGCTCTTGAAGAAAATGTTCGCCCTGAATCTAATGATGGAAAGCAGACCAATCTAGAACCTGGCACATAAGACAAGAGACAGGCAACTTTTTCTTCAATCCAAAATCTGCATGTTTTTCTCCTATCTTCTCTCACTTTCTGCATATAGCTATAGTATATTTTTAAAATCTGGGTCCTGACAGGATAGCTCAGTTGGTTAAAGCGTTATCCCTATACACCAAGGTTTCAGGTTTGATCCCCAGTCAGGGCACATACAAAAATCAACCAATGAGTACGTAATTGGAACAACAAATTGGTGTTTCTGTCTCTCTCTCAACTCAATATATATATATATATATTTTTTTTTTTTAAATTATTAAAAGTCCCAAAAGTTAGGATTCATAACTGACCTACACTAGAGTCCACTGCCCTCACTGGTCTGACCACCGCCCCATCCACAGTGAGGGTTTGCAGAGCCCACACAGACGGGACAGCCCACCAACGTCAGAGACCCTGGGAAACTAGGAAAAACCTGTCCACCAGGTCCAGGCCAGGCAGAGAGCGTAAGACCCTTAGCAGCACCAAGGCTGCAAACAAAAACACCTGCTTTGGAGGCATGATTCTCCCCGGACACACGAACACAAAAGGTTAGCTGTGTACCTCTAAATTCTGACATTCCTGAGCTGAGTTGGTGGGCAGACCAATCCATTTGATTTCCTTCTTCTCCTTGGAGATGATGTTCATGGCCATCAGCACATTTAAGGCATCGTAGACTCGCCGTCTTATGTTCTTCTGATCATAAGCCTGGGGAAGGTGAAGCAGTTTTCCACCCGATCCAGGACAGCTCACAGATCAACGTTAAACGTTAGACCCTGAACTCAAGGAAGTAAGTGCACTATCAATCTGCTGTGTGTCATACAAACCTGCTGCAGCAGCCGGCACCACTCCTAAGCCCTCCTCACTGAGCCAGCCGGACCAGGCCAGAGGGCATTCCGGCAGGCAGAGCCAGAACCACACATAAAATCATTAAGGGATAACGGGGCATTATATCTGCAAATAGGTCAGAAAAAAACGCCTTTGTACTGTTCTCGGACCTCTCTGTACGTCTGAAGTTGTCTCCAATAATAACATAGTGGGCCTTCCAGTAACTCCTGGCCGCCCCATACCCACACCACACGTACTTACGGATTCGTTTGGTAAGATGTGATTATCGGCGGCACTGAACTCTGCGACCAGCTCGTCGGCCACCTCATTATAGGACGTGGTTCCTTTCCTCTGCACTTTCTCACAGACCTTCATGGAGAAGTGCCTCAGGCCCTTACCGTTCTTCTCTCCTTTCCTGTTGCGTTTCCTTCAAAAATACAAAGGAGAAGTGATGCCCTTAGCATTCTTAGAGGCAGCCTTGAATTAAGACACGTTTACCTAAAAGGGTTAACAACCTACACAAGGGCCCGAGTCCTGCAGGTGCTGCAGTTCATGCCACAGACCAAGGGGAACCTGGCTCCGTCTCCAGAGAGTACACTCGGCACCACCAATGGGTGTCCAATGTTTTCTTTCTTCAGAGGCCAGACCTCACGTCTGTATCGTCAACTCTCAGGGAAAATGGGGCAGACACCCAAAAGGATGGGACCCAGTATATATCTGATGGGTATCAATACACTAAACACTGTTTCCTTAAAACAATGCCGATCAACATCAGGAATTATGAAAATTTTACTGCAAATTTAGGACTTTTTAGGGAAAATTTAAGCTAACAGACAAGGGGAATGCTGAAGAACGGAGTGTGCTTCAGATTAGGAGTGAACCCAAATGTCTGAACTCTACGTCACCACGTCAAGGAAAAGAGTGATTCTGAGTTTCTAACTGGATGAATTTTGGGGGGCTGATGATTTTTGCTTGAACCAAAACAGATATGATTTTATAGCGGTGTCTCTGTTAGTTTTTAAAGAAAGTTGCAATGTTGACCTTCAAATAAAACTGTTCTCAAATTGGTTTGCTTTAGTGGAAGAAAGGATCAAAGTGACAGTGTGGTGGGGCCGTCCGATGGACGAGCGCCATGAAAAGGCAGTTCCATGTGGCGGCAGCGGGTAAAGCTGCGGTGAGTCCATCACTTTACACATCATTCCCTGAAAGCTACTTTCCAGTGTAGACAACGGCAAGTGTCAGGGTTACCACTGTGCTGAAAGGTCAGCTCCCTCCTCTTCTTCCCCCCAAAGCTGACCACACCTTATAGTGCAGCACAGCCATCATCCCAACTACAGGGGGGCAGCTTTCCCGCCCATCACAGCATAACCATCACCCCAAAACTACTGGGACAGCACTCCCGCCCACCCCAACATACCCATCACCCCGAAACTACAGGGGGGCAGCTCTCCCGCCCTCCACATTATAACCATCACCCCGAAACTACAGGGGGGCAGCTCTCCCGCCCTCCACATTATAACCATCACCCTGAAACTACAGGGGGGCAGCTCTTCTGCTCTTTACAGTATAACCATCACCCCAAAACTACAGGGGAGCGGCTCTCCCGCAGCCTGACCTCTTTTACGAGGAAAAGAGTGCCTTGACTACACATCCCTCCTGGGCACACATTGGACACTTAAAATCCTCTGGCATGACGGTCAGCCCCTACGGCCACAGAGAGCTAAGGGTTTACAATTCTAGGCAATGTGCTCACCCGGCAGACCAAGGTGAGGGGTCTGAAGGCTGGTTCTGTGAGACAAAGTGAGTGTTAGGGGTGTGTGGGCTTCCTACCACGATAGTGTTTGGCGCTGCAGGTCTCTGAGGCGTACCAATTACCTACAGTCAAAAGAGACAATTCAGAACACAATCAGAAATCTCCCACATACGACGCTGCCATTTATCATTTCTCATTACCTACGGCCGCTGCTGAATGGCAATGACCACAGATATCAGAAAGAACAATGTCAATGTGAGTAACCCAACAGCCGGCCCTTTGAACGACGACGATATGGCCACACGGCCACACTATTCTGAACGTGTCTTTATTCCCCTTCATCAACCTCAGGCATCTTCTCCGGTTACACAACAGCAGCAGGAAACATCAGGCAGCACAAACAAGCCAGCAGACAGGGTGCACCTCCGGGCAGGTGCATTTAACCGCGGGGTGTAAATCACATAGCCCAGGTACAGGACTCTGGGAGGACTCAGCACATTTCTATTATTCCTTTTGTCCTCTTTTACTTCCCCTTTTAATGATATAGATGAGGATAAAAATCTATTCTTCAGGGGCACTAAAAGGAGGCCCAAAACCAGAAAACAGCTCTCAGAAGAAAAGGAACACAGGGCGACTCTGGTGCCCCGTTAGCTTGTCCATCCCAATGGTAGTTTTCTGGGGGGATCCCAGGCACCCCAAAGAGCACAGGGCAGGGGAAAGGGAAATGATCAGCGTTGGGAACAAAGGCAAGGGGTCTCGATGCCCACAGCATAGCCTGGGACAAGCCCTTGTCTTGGGGGGCCCGGGCCGACATGCCCCTCATCGGCTGTCTGAGCACCCAACACCCATCTCTTCACCAAAAGAAGGGAAACCTTGCTTTCTCTGTTAACAAGCACTTAGGACGTTGGTCCTTTCAATTAATGTTCAACTATTAACATGGGGAACATACAGACATTGGATAGCCAAGTAAAATTCCAACTTTTTTGGCAAATACTGTACAAACTCATTTATAATATGTGGAATCTAAAAGAATAAACAAACAAACAAAAAAGCACGCTCACGTTCAGAGGTGGAGGGTGGGGGAAGAGGATGGGCAAAATGAGTGGAAGGGGTCACCAGGCACAAACTTCCAGCTGTAAAATGAAAGTCACGGGGTAACGTGCAGCACAGTTAATAATGCTGCACTGCACATGTGAACGATGCTAACAGATCTCGAAAGCTCTCATTACAAGAAAAAAAATTTATATATGACGACCAATATATACTTATTATGGTGATCATTTCATAGTTTATATAAATATCAATTCGTTATGTTGTACCCCTGAAACTAATATACTGTTGTAAGCCAATTATAGCTCAATAAGTGAAATCTAATTTCAATTTCTTCAAAGATACTGTTGTCTGACTCTCTCTAAACTAATAAACGAGCCTGGAAACCATTGAGAAACACTTTCTGAGTTACTACTACAAAGCAAAGTGCCTCAGCGACCTGATGTCATTGAACATGTTAACATCAGGCACCGAATGCTAGCGCAGCCTCACCCCAGGGCAGAGGGTGCACTGTGGCCTTAGGGACTTGCTGGCTGCCGCTTGGCTATTTTAAGCTGGACGCTCCTTCTAGTCCCCTTCTTAGCAGGATAAGTGTGTTACCTGCAGTGGCCCCAGGACAGCTGACCCGGCACTTTGTAAATTATCCATAAGCCCAGGTCACCTGTCAATGTTAATGATCCACAAAACATGGAGAGAAAAACAGCTCAAGTGAGTGTCACTCTTTTAATTCACATTTCCAATGATAAGCGCTTCATCACAGTGTTTTTTCAAACTGTAGATCACCCTCACTCAAAAGCCATGAAGTCAAATAAATCAGTGAATTTTCTGAAAAATTAAACAGGATAGAGAAGATAACAAATCTCCCAGAGAGGAGGGATGCCGTGTGACACTTTTGTTTCTGTTAAATAGGTGCGTGCATTTACCATTTACGGGCACTGGGTCACGGTGGAGAATGCACACCTGCTAAGGCTCGTGGCCCAGTTTGGGAAACATGGAGACCTGTCACTCACAGCACATTTTCCTGGACCCAGCTGGTTACATTCTCGGGAGGGTAGATTGTGGGCGGGCACCAGCAGGACTTACTGGCCTCACGTGCTGCAGCTCTGCTCAGCAGAGGGCTACCGAACTTCAGGGTCAGTGCCCCACCGGACACTCAGGCTGGGCCCAGAGACCAGTGCCCTCCCTACTGTCCTCTCCCTACCCTGCATCTCTTCCTCAGACCAATTAGTCTGCAATGAGAACAGAAAGCCAGAAGGCCAGGCACACAGCAAGGGCTCGATAGCTGCTCACTGTGAGAGGCAAGCAAGGAGGGTCCTTCGCACCCACTGGCATCGCCCACATCCTCGTGGAGGAGTGGAGGGCAGCAGAGCCTGCAGGTTTCCTCTCTTTGCTTTTTTATTTTCACTGTTTTACATGGAGATTTTGCCCTATGGGGAACACCTCCATCTGGGCTGTGAGCCGAACAACCATACCACCGGTTAGGGGATGTGGAAAGACCTAACAAGCCTCAGGGTACATTTTCACTCCCATGAAGTTCAACAAAGTCTCGCCTCTCATGTCAGAATCAGCCAGTCCTCTTTGTTTTTAATTCCTTGGTACATATAAAGTTTTGAGAGACATTTGCAATGCGAAGGCTTTAATTCACAGTCCTGGGGTTTTGCAAAGGATTAATTACCACTACTAGCTCCACCCAAAATAGCTTGATTCAAATCAGTGATTTAATTTTGGACTGACAAAGTTTACGGTGCACCAACAGAAAATCTCTCCGTATGTTTCTTCCCAACTATTTACACTTAATAAAAATCAGATTGTTGCCCTGGCTGGTCTGGCTCTCAGTGAATAGAGCGTTGGCCTGTGGACTGAAGGGTCCCAGGTTCAATTCCAGTCAAGTACACATTTCTGTGTTGCGGGCTCAATCCCTAGTAGGCAGCATGTAGGAGACAGCAGATCAAAGATTTTCTTTCATAATTGATGTTTCTATCTCTCTCCCTCTCCCTCTCTGAAACCAATTAAAATATATATATATTTTTTAAATAGAACTGTTCCTATAATTAATGAGGTACTCCCAAGCTAAATTCTGCAGTACTTTAAAATATTAATTATAAATTAAAACATAAATTGGAATGTTAGATTATATCAAAAAGACATTTACTGAAAAACTATGATGTGCCAAATGTGGTCTACATACTATTTGCTTTGAAAAAAAAAAAAGAATCAGAGCCATTTTGCTAAGCAAACGTGGCCAAATTTTGTTGAGGGACTAAGTGACAGGGAGCAATTATATGCCAGTCATCCCCCAGAGGGCAATGGGGGCCTGGGATGTGAACAAGCTCGGTGGGTGGTAACACCCTTCTCTTCTCATGGGGGCGCATGGCCCAGGAGCAGGAATGACTTCAGCCTAACCAGAGTCACGGCGGGAAGAGGGGGGAACCGTTTGGTTGGAGGGGGGCAGAGCGGGCAACATGGGGTGGGGGGCCCACACAGTTCTGGGAGAGCAGATCCACCTCTGGCCCCTCCCGCAGAACTGGCAGGGGCGAGGACACACCTGTCACACAGTAGCACCCTGATAGCCTGAACTGACCTAACCCCACATGACCTGAACACAGACACCACCCTCGTTTCCCTGGCAGGTAACATCCGCCCCAAGGAGCGCCAGAGCCAAGGTGCAGCCAGCCCCCACACAACTCCATGCCGCTCTGCCTGAGCTCTCCGTGGCACACCTACGAAACCTGCAGGGCAGATCCAGGACCCGCAGGGAGCACGTAGCGGCAGGGGAAGCTGCCTGGCCTGAGCTGAGTCCCACCGTCCACACGCACAGAGGGGAAGGCCAGCCAGGAGCAGAGCACAGAAGCAGGGGAGACCACCTGCGCTCTAACCACAGGCTCCTGCGATCTCTGAGGAAGGCGACCGTCCCAGCGCTGCGAGCATTCGACAGGAAGCTGCGAAAGCAAACCTCACACTCCAAACTCCAAGCGGGAACCTAAGGGTTACTGTCCCGAACCCACAAGCCCACCCTACCTGGGGCCCCTTACCACTTGCTGTGTAATGTTGACATTGGATGACTGTCCGAACGTTTTTGGCAAGAGCTGCTTCCCAAGCGTGTTTACTGTGGAGGGGTGAACAGCTACTAAGGACACAACACCTGCAACGCAAGGAAGTGAGAGGTGAGTTCTTTGCTCAATTGAGGCTAATAGTGAGTTTCAGGTCCATGATGTTTCTAATTATAATAGAAAGTCCTTCCCCACTTTTACCATTTTAGATCTATGGACAATAACATACACCTTTACCAGGCTTAATTATCAATTTAAGGGGGCTGTATGGACACAATGGCTTGCTCGCCCTACAATGAGCCCCTTTCTGGGGCCGGGGCTCCAGTGCCCACAGGCTTTATCACCAACTTGCCCCAAACCCATCAGCCCATCCACAGAATGTTCTGGTGGGACTACAAGCTGTAGAGATAACAGCTCTTAAAAAGGCTCTAATTCTATGACAATCACAGAAGAGAACACGCTCAGTGAGAGCTAAGCTGACTTCCGGGCCTTTACCACCACAAGAGAAGAGGAGAAGTTCCTGTTCTGGTCATGCCTCGAGACCCTTCTGGTTTCCCTAACGCAGAGCAGCCGGGAGCCACCTATCCTCTCGGGGTTTGAAGTGGTGGTTTTGCAACCAGGCCTCACACAGGGCTCAGCATGACATTTTCCTTCATTTCCACCCAGGTCAGCATCATGGTGACCTCCAAATAACTAGTGAGGCATCATCTTCGATGTAGCCTGGCCTAAAGTTTCACTGAGAACAGACCTCTTCAAAATTTAATAACCAATGAATTTTGCTGCTACATAGAAACACATTAATTTCTCTTTAATAACTGAAACTGACCAGCTGGCTAACATGAATATCTAACCAACAGAAACATATTTAAATTATTCTCTCGTAAATAAACCTATCTGCTTTGAATTTTTTATTTTCCTCTAAAAATAGAGATCTGCAAGGTGGGGCAAAAGTAGGTCTACAGTTGTGAGTACACGGAAACACAGAGTTTGCTCCTGTATTATTATTAAGTACTAGAGGCCCAGTGCACGGATTCCTGCATCGGTGGGGTCCCTTGCACTGATGCAGAATTGGAGCCGGGGAGGAATCACAGGAGGGCTTCAGGGCGTGTCCAGCCTGTCTCACCCAGTCCCAATGGGGCCTACCGGTAGGAGCATCTGCCCCTGGTGGTTAGTGCGTGTCATAGCTACCAAACAGTTGAAACCGTGGAACAGTCACTTAGACTTTTATATATAGAGCCTAGAGATCCAATGCACAAAAATTTGTACACTGAAGGTGGTCCCTCGGTCCAGCCTGCCCCCTTTCACAGTCTGGGAGACCTCAAGGGGTGTCCTATTGATGACTTAGGCCTGCTCCTCTGCAAGAGGCAACCGGGCCGATCAGGGCAAGGCACTGCCCCATCACCCCACTGCTGCTGCCACTGCCGGCCACTGCAGCTGCTGGCCCTCCTCAGCCCTTGAAACCACTGCAGCTTTGTCTGGAAGACGCCCAGTCTATCCAGTCTAATTAGCATATGCTTTTATTAGTATAGATTACATTATTTTCCATACAAACAATGTATGGAATTCTTAACAAAAGCAAACATTTTGACTATTGATTTAGATATGTAAAAATATTTCAAAAGACACAAATAGTTATTCTATTTTACACTTGAGATTTAAAATACAGACAATTAAATAGATTACTTTTCAGATTCACACATAAAGATTAATAACGAATAAGTTTCTGAAATACTAAACTGATTCACTGAAAAAGGTAACATTAGTTTTGTTTTGTTTTAATATGCAAGTGATGATCTAATTTTTAGTGATTTGAAGAAAGAAAAGAGACTGCAATCACTGCCAACACCAGCAGCTCAGGCAGTGCTTATAGCATCACTGTTTTAAAGCTTCACTTTGTACATCAAACTTATGGAAGTCAACACATCAATAGGCAGGACCAGGCAATCATCTTCTAGTGCTAGACCTGGTCCAGCCACTTCTGCCACCCACTTACACGGCACAACACACACCACCCCAGAACCACAGTTACTGTCTTTCCATAAAATAATAAGCTCAGAGCCCCAATCTGGGACTCCCGCTTTATGTCCCAGCTAGGGAAATGAGGAGTACTCTGGGGGGTTCAGGACAATGGCAGAGCTTCGAGGCAGAAGTGGGCTGGGGCCAGGGCGCCTTTCTTCTATCTGCTTGCCGACACTACCTGTTGTCATTCCCCCATCAGGGTTTCTCCCTGGTGTTTTTTGTGTTCTTTTTTTAATAAATATATTTTTATTGACTTTTTACAGAGAGGAAGGGAGAGGGATAGAGAGTTAGAAACATCGATCAGCCACATCCTGCATGCCCCCCACTAGGGATGTGCCCGCAACCAAAGTACATGCCCTCGACTGGAATCGAACCTGGGACTCTTCACTCTATCCACTGAGTCAAACCGGTCAGGGCTCTCCCTGGTGTTTTTATTGAGAAACTCTTCAAATATAAAGAACTATTTTTGCAAACAGTCTTACTCCAGTACACCTAGAATTATTATTACCATTTTATTGCATTTGCTAAAGAGACTTGAGCAGTAAAGCTAACCTTAAACTCTCAGACTGTCCCACCTCTCCCCGGCTGGGCCCCGCCTGCTCCCCGCCTGCAAATATCAATGCCTGATGGATGCATTCAGCCCATTTTCATACTGTCCACATATGAATCCAAGAAAAATGTTTGTGTGACCCTTTAAGATTTAGAAAATGACAGATATTCAAGGAATTCTACAACTCTGTTTACTACACTGTTTTTGAGACTTATCCATAGAGAGATTTACTTGATTTCCTCCAAGGCTGTAATGCTATTTCATCTATTAATACCTAGATATCATGCGAAAACACTCTCAGTATGTCACTACTAAAACGCAGCAGTTAAATTGGGGGCCTCCCACTACTGAGCAGGGGCTCCTCCCAGGCGTTTTCTCTCATGAAGATGTGCCAAGGTCCCAGATGGCCTTCTGTATTACAGGCTTTGCCGCAGCACCTCCATGTGGCTGTTCTGTGTGCACGCACGCGCACACGTGCACACATACACGCACACACGCACCACAAACACATACATGCAAACACACATACCACAAGCACACCACAAATATGTACACGCAAACATACACACACACCACAAATGCAAACACAAATACCCCACAAATACGTACACACACCACATGTACACACACCCCAACAGCCGGTGTTCCTCTCCTAGGCTTTTGCCAATTGTTGACTCAGTAAGACTTGTCTTTTTTGACAACCTCAAGAATAAAATGCTATTTCATTTTTTGTTTAAGTTAGTGATAAAAATTAGAATGTTTAGCACATTTTTCTAATAAAGACTGACACACACATTTATGAGCGGATTAACATTTCAGTTACAAAATGGGTAAAATTATAATAGTCTAGGAATCTACTGACTAGAAATAATATTGTTTCAATTGTAAAATGTACTACACAGACTTTTTTATTTTTTATTTTATTTTTTAAATATATTTTATTGATTTTTCACAGAGGGGAAGGGAGAGAGATAGAGAGTTAGAAACATCGATGAGAGAGAGTCATCGATCAGCTGCCTCTTGCACACCCCCTACCGGGGATGTGCCCGCAACCAAGGTACATGCCCTTGACCGGAATCGAACCCGGGACCTTTCAGTCCGCAGACCGATGCTCTACCACTGAGCCAAACCGGTTTCGGCTACACAGACTTTTTTAAATAAAATCCATAACAAAATATTTTCAAATATAACCTTATACAATGGAGAATTCCTTTCTTGGCAAAAAATTGAGTTAAGAATATATATGGTCTGCCCTAGCTGGTTTGGCTCAGTGGCTAGAGCATCAGCCTGGGGACTGAAGGGTCCCAGGTTCGATTCTGGTCAAGGGCACATGCCCAAGTTGCAGGCTTGATCCCCATTGTGGGGTGTGCAGGAGGCAGCTGATCAATGATTCTCTCTCATCACTGATGTTTCTCTCTCTCTCCTTCTCCTGGCCTCTCTGAAATCAATAAAAATATATTTTTTTTTAAAAGAAAATACATGGTCTGATTGCTATAACCATTAAAAGAAAAAGAACTCTAAAAATACTATATAAGCATATTTTTGTAATTAGTAATCATATTCTATTATTATATACTGTATAGGTTTTTAAGATAAATTATGAAAGCATATGGTTTAGTGTTTTCTTGGGAATAATTTTAACCAAACATCTTAAAGTTTTGGAATCTAATGTTTTAAGAGCTATTACTTTGTCCACCATGCTACAAATATCAACATGACTAGACCGTGGCACCCTGTATGCTGCACCTTCACTGCCTGGCCCTGGATCAGCCACAAAAGCCTTCTTCTCAGCTCTCGAGCACCGAGGAGCTTCCTTCCTGGGCCACCCCAGCAGCCACACCCGACCTACGCAGACATGCTGCTCACCAGCCAGCCAGGAAAACCAGGGAGAAACGGCTCTGCAGGGGCCCCTCCGTGGATCCAAGCTGAGGTGTGCCACGGCCCAAGGGCTGCGCTCTGGCTGCATCAGCTGGGTCAGCCCAGAACCCGCATCCCAGGTGACTTCCATGCCGCCTCACTGTGTAGCAGCCCTTCTGCTCCCTGGATAGCACTTAACTGAAAAACGGTCATCACCTCATGCCCAGGAGCAAGGCTTACAGGGCAGGATGTCACTACCGTGCTGTAAATGTCCTTTGGGTTACAACACAGGACAGGAGGCGAGAACAGGCTGATGCCTCTGTCCCACGTTCCCCGGAAGGCAGCAGTCTGAGGGGCTAACCAAAAGTTCCGCCACTCCCTCCCACAACAGGGCTCCCCTCCCAACCACTACAGAGACCGGTTTGAACTTACCCACCGTGTACGAGTGTGTGCAAGTGTGTATGTGTATGCATGCATTTGGGAGGGTACAGTTAACACATCTCAAGAATTACAAAATGACACTCAGGTTTCAGCCACACATCACTGGCAAATTTTCATTTTCCTACCTCAGAACCCCAAAGCTGGAAAACAGTACTGAAGCAGGGAAAATGACATTCGTCCCAGAAGAATGCCCGCTCACCAGTTAGACAAGGACAACGATACAGGAAGCAGTGTTCCAGGTTAAAGCAAGAGCACATGGAGATGGGCCCTACCTCCCGGGAGCTGAAGACAGGGACCTACACATGTCTAGCATAAGGGGCCTTTGAGCTCTTCAGGAAAAAGACAGGTTTACGTCACGAATCAATCAATAGGCATTAGAGCTCCCCACTAATAAGGGGGCAGGTAACAAAAGCTAGCATTAGAAACTGACAGAATAGCCCAGCTCCCACAAACTGAAGTCACACACAGCACAGAGGATCGCCACACGTCTCAATGCACTGTGTGCGTGGACAATGGGTGCAGGAAAGTGTTCCCAAAATAGTAAGCATGCACTTTAACAAACATTTACCCGTCTAACTGTACTCTCAGGCACAGCTGGGGGTTTTTCTTAGTGAGCACATATTATCTGGATAATAAATAAATTTTCAGTTTGAAAAGGCAAGAAGCGTGATGAAGTGCAAACAGAGACCCAGAGTACAGGAAAAAGGGCACGCTTGAGCTGTGGTCCAAGGTCAGGTCTGTGTAGGGGAAGGGAAGGGCAGGGCGCAGCCTGGAAGGAAGGGTTGTGTGGGCACCTGGGTGGTGGGGGAAGGCTGCCTATGCACTACCACTGTTTGGCTGGAAGAAAAAAATCCAAGAACCATGAGAAACAAAGTGAGACGATCAGCCGAGCTTGGAACTCATCCAGATCGAGGTGCAGGGTAGGGGCAGGGCCTCAGGTGACAGGCACAGCACCCTGCACAGACTCCTTCCAACAGAGTGAGGCCACAGGCACATGAAGTTGAAAACACTGACGGCATCACACATTAGCGAGGATGTGGAGCAACTGGAAACAAAACAATGCAGCCATATATACGTTTGCTGTTTGACCCAGTTTCCACTCCTAAGCGTCTGCCCAAATCACAAAGACAAATGTGCGTGCAAAGACCCACAGTGTTACAGCCGTGAGCAAACAATTGGAAGCAACCCAGGTGGCTGTCACAACTAAAACTGCACACAGAATTGACTGTCTAAAACTCTGCACCGGGACTCTTGTCTTAAGGGCCTGTGGCTGCAAAGGCTGTGAGGTCGGTGCACTTTTCTGTGGGAAGTACATTTTTGAGTCTGGCAGGGTGTAATGGTCAACTTTATGTGTTAGTTTGCCACGGCACTTACTAGTCCCCAGTTATCCAATCGAACATCAGCCTAGGGGCTGTCTGGAAGCTCTTTGTGGACGTGGTGAGATCGACAAACGTAGACTTTAAGTAAACAATCTAACCAGCCGAGAGCCTTGAGAGCAAAACCTGAGGTTTCCCTGAGGAGTTCTGCCTTGAGACTGCAGCCCCTGCTCCTGCCTGCTTCCAGGCTGCAGGCCTGCCTTGCCCATTTCAAACTGCCAGGCCCACAGCACACAGGCTGATGATTCCTTGAAACAAACCTCCTTCATATACATGAAGGACATGTTTTCCACCAACTCTGCCTCTCAAGAGAACTCTGGCTGGCACAGAGGTCTGGAAACACAGCAGCTCTGAGAAAAGGAGTGATCCAGGAGCAGGGCGGGCAGGGAGGCCGAGACTGGGAGTGGTGTGAGAATGAGAACCCCAATGTGGGGCAGGAGTGGCAGGGCCCAGAGCAGGGGCACAGTAGGATCCAGGTGCAAGGAAGTGAGTCAAAGCCAGAACTCCAATAGGAGCAGACGAGGAGGGAACTGGAAGCTGGGTCTGGCCTCATCTGAGGATGTCTTGGGTTCTTAGCCGAGGGCAGCGAGGTTCCCAGGAAGTGGCGGTAATCAGGCGCTGGCCTGCTCCTGAATTCCCGGTGGGTGGGTGGGCGTGAGAACAATGGTGAACTAGTCCCACAGCACAAGGTGCAGGGCAGGAGGCGAGGCCAGTCCCTGCCCCTGGATGCCCCAGCCTCTCTCCTGGCTGGGCCACAGCCTTCTCCTCAGGACCATCCCATCATTACCACCAAAACCAGCCCCTGCTCCTTCACAATCACTCCAGAGAGACTGGCTCTCCAGGACATGCTGCTGACTACTCACTCCCCTGGGCTCTGGGCCTTACTCACTGTGACCCCACGCCTTTGCCAACTGCCCCCTGGGAAGAGCCCATAGTGACCACTGAATCAAATGACACCCCAATGTGTTGCTCACTGGGCTCTTCAAGCTCATAATAAAATACTAATAAATAACCCAAAGTGAACAGTCCAAGTTAGTACAACACTGCTTAAAACTATCCTTAAGCTCACGAACCAGAGGCAAAAGGCATTACGCTGCTGCTGAAAACCTGCCAGCGTGCGAGGGTGACGGCCAGACGGCCTGGTCCTACTCTCTCCACATCTAAGCCCCACCGGCCAGAACAGCATGAACAGACAAACAGCTCCGTTGTTAAAACTGATTCTCTGGAAGGAGCAGGAGAAACATGGCGGCTGGGGGAGAGCTGCAGAGCGGGGCTGTGGAGACGCCGCCATGTGCCTTCTCACTTAAGCCCTGCTGTGAGGTAGAAGGGACAGGGAGGAACCTTGGGAGAAGGAAGGAACCTGGCCTCCTGGAGGCTGCACTGGTCCCAGGACTGACTCTGGACTCCACCACCCACGGGGCAACCAGACGAGACTGGTCAGGAGGAGGAGGAGCGAGGCCTGGGCATCGCTCAGGGGACTCCCCGTGTCCGAGCAGCATCGTCAAGGCGAGTGGGATGAGTGAGGCCGAAAACATGAGCTGAAGAACACACAGGGTAAGACGAGGGGGCTGCAAAGAAGCTAGACCATGCCCAGGGGAGACACGGAGTATTTTCAACGTTGCAGGGAGCCAACAGCAACGTATTTTAGTAGAGTCAAGAAACCATTATTTTTCCAATCCTTCCAATTCAATTCCTCGGCTCACAATTAAGCTCAACAGGAAAGGAAAAGGAGACAGCCAACGATTGGTCATAAGTAAGCTTACTTGGAGAGAAATTCAAAATAAACACCAGAATGAAAGGCTTCCATCATTTCCAAGGGAGCAAAGTTTGTGGATTTCCCTCCCCCCACCCATTATTATTCCTATTCATCACTTTAATAGAAAATGCCTCAAATTTCTAAAAAAAAAATTTAAATGTTCAATTATGTACACTGAATTTTTCATTCACGCAATCTGTGAATGCTAGAAATGAGCCTTCACAACGTATCAAGATAAAAAAAAAAGTGTGCCAACACTGAATCCCTCCGTGTGCTCTCCATCCTTGGACAGAGGAGAAAAAAGTGCAGGGCACGCCCACGGCATTCCACCAGTGAAACCAGGAGAGCAGGCATGAGCCTAGGCCTGGAGTAAGAGATCAGTGAAGCCCTGGACAGGGTGCAGGCCAAGGGCATGGGCACCAGCTTAAAGCCGTGTGTACGAGCCTTCATGGGCATCTGAAGGTAAGTCCCGATGCAACCGAGGGGGCAGACTTGCTCAGTGACACAGGGACCTAGCTTTCCGGGAGAGGGAAATGAATGGGGCAGGAGATGGCTGGGTTCCTGTCCAGTGCTCCCCAATAATGGATGGACAGACGAGAAGGGGCTGGGACACGACAGAAAGACCGAGTGAGGGCCCCGCACCAGTTTCAAGGCATCAAAAGATCACTTATTAGGCAGGGCCTCACTGTTAGAGTAAAAAGATAATCTTAGGTATGACAATCATTAGAACAATCATCAGATGAGGCCAGACCCAGGTTCAAACAGAACCTAAGCCCTAACACTACACAAGGCCTCTGGGCCCAGCCTGGCTGACCCAGACAGTGGACTTCACAGCTGGAGCCATATACCAGGACTCCATTCACCCCTGCAAGCAAAACCTCCTTAAGACAAACCAGGCTCTCCCTCGGGTCTACTCTGAGCAATAGTATAATGAGCTGCACCAAAATGGGCTTGCTCGAACTTGATATCAAAGCTCCACACCGACGCAGCTTTACAATCAGCCAAGCATCACACATCAGCGCTTCAAAGGCACATATCTTTGACGAGGATCCAGTAGTTCCACGGCTACGACTTTACCTGAGGAAGTACCCAGCATGTTCTCAGAGGGAAACTGCAAATTGAGGGACCGCTGGGAAGGCGTGGCTTTAACCGATCCTCCCTGAATTCTAGTGATGGAGAGCAACCCTGACACCCAGAGAACTAACGAGGATACACGGACGTGAATTCTTGCTCACACTCTGAAGTGTGCCCCGCACCGCAGATTGGAGCTTGTGTCCGTCTGCTTCAGGGCTAGCCACAGAGCAAAGGCCTGGAGAGCACACCCCCAGTCCAGGCCCTGAGGTGGACAGAACACAAGTGTCCTGTGTTTTCTTCTTTACACTTTTCCACATTTCCTAAATTTTTGCCAATGGTATGCGACTTACAAACTAAAATAAACTCAGCCACTGATGTGTGTGTGCAGGTGGTGTGTGTGTCTGAGTGACCTGCGAATGCCACTCCTCCTAGACCATCCCGGGGGCTCCAAGGTGGGTTTCCACAGCTGACAAGGGCTTTCATGTAGAGAAATTCACAAATACAGCAAACTTCACACATTTATCAACAAACTCACATTTCCAGAGTAGGAGCCCTTACCTTTTCCAGGACTAAGGTTCTGGTCTATGAAGACCTTTAGTTCCCCGTTGGCTTCAATTAGACCGGCCTGAGAAAACAACAACAGTCACAATAAATACAACAGCTACTAGAGCGACAAAGCTGGTTTTTAACACACCATCCCTGTCAGAGGGTGGAATAAATAACATCAACAAAATACAGTGTATACATGGTATGTTGTAGAACTGTGCACCTAAAACCTGTATAATTTTATTGACACAATAAATTCAAAGAAAAGGGAGCGGGGGGGGGGGGGGGGAGAAGGCAAAATGGTCACCACTATGCAAAGAACTGCAGAAAGCCATGGAGGGAAACACCCATGTCCACAAGTGGCTGCCTTAGCCCATGAGTTACTTACTTGATTAGCAAAAGAAGGTCATTTGAAGATTTTACTCTGTAAAGCTTAGCCCTTGGGACAGTAATGAAGTGATGTTTTTATTAAATGGTACATGTATTTTAAGTGGTAATGTCTAAGGCTGGCAAAGACGTACTGCAGGTGGACGTGAACGTTCATTTGAAAGCAACCTGGTGATTCGGCCTGAGAACTGAACAAGGGCCTTCGAGTTGGTCAGAGCCTCAAAATGAAACAAAACAAAAAAATGAGAAGTGCTTCTTTTCATGACCTGGGTAGTCACTGAATGCACTTTTGAAGCAAACCTTAACAGCTGCATGTAGCTTTGGTTCTTTTGTTTTTTCTATGAGGGAACATTTATTAAAGCTGGGGACAGTGAAACAAGGACGGGCCTGGCATAGAAGCAGCAACAGGGAAGCTTAGGCAGGGCTGCCTTAGCTCTCTGGGAAGTCAGAGAAAAGAGGGCAGAATCGGAGGACTAGGCTGGGACAAGCTGCTGCTGCCCAGTGCTCCCCTGTTTACAAGTCTTGTGGGGTCCCTTAGAGTTTAGGAGATGCATGCTTTGGAGGGGGGCAGGAGGGTGGAAGGGGGAGTGAGGGGGGAGGGAGGAGGAGGGGTTGGCGTGGTGGTCGTGCTCCCCAGAGGGGATGTGTGGATTCAAATGTCTTTATGTAATACGACTGACTGCAAAGTGTCGAAGACAAATGGTTATGACCAAAATAATTTATTTAGGTTTCCTGATCTTAGATAAACACAACACTTTACAAGTCCTTTGTGGAAGGAGCAAGAACCTTGGGAATATACAGTGGCATCTGGTCAGCCAGGTAGCAGGTTGCTAGAACAAAGCAGAATTATTTCCAACAACTGAGCAGTTAAAGATATTACAGCGAGAAATACCAGAACAGGACATATGACTTAGCTTCCACATACGACTAACCTAAACCAGTTCCAATACAGGTTCATCTTACTCTTAAATGCCGAGAGATACAGCACAAGAGATTTTCCCAAATAACACCTGAAACCAAGCCTCTCCCCACCCCCTCACCCCAGCCACCAAGAGACTCCTTCTGATTTACTCTCTATGAAGGTGACACAAATTATTTGTGGACTTGAAGACCAACCCCGACCAGACACACACTCTGCTTGCTCCAGGCCGTGTGTGAGAGCAGACAGCATCCTCAGACAGCTGTGTGTCCGCCCATCCGAAGGTGCACAGCTCCTCCGGGACTGCCCTCCTTGAGAACAACAACTGGTGCAGGGGAGACCTTGTAGCACTCACATCGCCGGGCCAAGCCCCACCTCCACCCTTTAAGCACGCTACACCGGAATCACTTGCGACATTGTGGAATTCAGGAAAAAAGCTGGTCTCTCGCAAACCCACACAAACTAACTCAGGACCAGCGTCATCACCCAAAACCTACCCAGAATCACAGCTTCAGCCTTCATAATGGTGCTTCTCTAAAACACCGCCCTTTTCGTGGAGGATAAGCTCCAAAGGACAACTGAAAACCTAACGAAGACCTCACTGGTGAAGTGTGACAGGAGTCAAGTAAGTATAATAGGGAATTAGTCATCTTTCCTGAAAGAAAAAAAACAAAAACACCTCCCTATTGATTTGATTCATGTGTGGTCAAATTTAAGACAACACACTGAGCCAAAACCAGTTTGGCTCAGTGGATAGAGCGTTGGTCTGCGGACTGAAGGGTCCTGGGTTCGATTCCGGTCAAGGGCATGTACATTGGTTGCGGGCACATCTCCAGTAGCGGGTGTGCAAGAGGCAGCTGGTCGATGTCTCTCTCTCATCAACGTTTCTAGCTCTCTATCCCTCTCCCTTCCTCTCTGTGGAAAATCAGTAAAATATATTTTTTTAAAAAGTAACCTTATTTAAAAAAAAAAAAAAAAAAAAAAAAAAGACAACCCACTGAGTCCGATACCTGGCCTGTCACCTGCAGAGAGGACCGCCCACTCCCCTGCTCTGCTTCAGTCCCAGGATACCCTCCCACCGGTCCCCCTGCCTGGGTGATTCTGAGGTCCCAGCCTCCACTGTCACTACCTGCAGACCAGGGACAGCAGCACCAGCCACACCTCCCCCACAGCGTCTACAAGAATCACAGCATGACATGCAAACCTTTAAAAACCCACACACAGGTGACCAATCATCCTGGTCTTCCCGGACCAAGCAAGTTCTGAGGGCTCCTGGGGTGCTGGTCTGCCGGTGCTCAAAGCAGGAAGAACCCAGGCCAGCTGCAAAGTTGTCTCTGTGGACAGAAATGCCTTAAAAAGCCTGCCCACTGGTGGCAGTGCTGGTGTCAGCAAGATTTATGAGATCCTGTGGCAAACCCGCCATGGACTCAGAGTCGCCGCTCTCCTTGGTACGGAGCCCGCATGCCTGGACCGCACCCCGACCTGCTCAGTGTCCCCTCTCAGCACCCCAGGACTCCAGGGCGTTAGGCGTGTGGGCAGGGAACCAGGCCTGATCTGTTTCATCTCCACTCTTTCTTCTGACAGTAGGACAGTCCAAGGCCATGCAATATGCCACACCATTGGGAACACCATGGCCAGCATGAGCACATACTGAAATGAATCCCATGACAGCCCTCCTTGGGACTTTCCAACATGAAGTCACTCCGACAGGTTTACAGTTAGTGCTAAACTTCAATCACACAACCACAGACGCTGAATTAACAAAAATATTAGTTACCCATTGGTTTTCTTCCTTACACTTTGTAGCCCAGAGCTATGACCTGCATGTACTTGATTATAAGCATCATAACAGGTTGTTTTTTGGTGTGTTATTTTTTTAAGGCATTACTGAAATTGTAATTAATTTTAAGATAAGTGCATCGGACTTATTTTCCTACAAAATCCTTATGCTTAAGATGCCGCCCTGGCCAGTGTTTCTAAGGGGTTAGAGCATTGGTCCATGCAACTAAGGGTCAAAGGTTCAATTCCTGGTCAAGGGCATATACCTGAGTTGCAGGTTCAATCCCCAGTCCCAGATAGGGCGAATGTGAGAGGCAGCCTATAGATGTGTCTCTGTCAAACTGCTAAATATATTAACATACAAACCAATAGCAAAGGTACTCTTTTGCCATAACTGTAGTTTTTCTTAGTTTATATAATTAGCCTATTATACTCATATTTAATGAAAATAAAAGTTGATTATCCTTATATTAGCTAATATTTACAGTAGCAATAACAAAGATTTTAAAAATAGTGGCAATAACAGTAAAACATATTACCAAGACATACTGCTGCTAGAAAGAGCTGAACCAATTAAAAATGAAAACTAAAAAATTGAATGCGATTATTTTAGTTAATTTAGAACCTTACTTGTGCTTCCATGTTCCAGGCTTTAGAAATGCACACCAATCTAACCTGGGACAGCCCCAACAAGGGTGCTAATGACCACACCGCTTCACAAGTGGCCAGCGGAGGGCAGCCCTAACCCACAGGCCAGCTCCCCACCGCCAGCCACACTCTGAATCCCCTCACTGGTCTCCTTCTTCCTGTCCTCCCTCTTTCTAAAACACGCTCAGCCTGACTGTCTCTCATCGCCCTAGGACAGTGGTCGGCAAACCTCGGCTCTCGAGCTACATGCAGCTCTTAGGTCCCTTGAGTGTTCTAATGCCACTTCTTCAAAATAGATTCACCCAGGCTGAAAACGGACTTCTGCGCATGGGCCACGGAGTTCCTATCGCACTGTACGGATGCACCCACACGTGGAAGAGCCACACTCAAGAGGCCAAAGAACCACATGTGGCTCACAAGCCGTGGTTTGCCGACCACCGCCCTAGGATAGCATACAAAGTCTTCAGCAAGACGGAGACCCCGAGACCAGGGACCGCCTGCCCGCCCACACCCCTTTAGAAGGCTGCCAGAGAGATAAAGCCTCATTACCAGACAGCCAGGCACAGCTCAGGGCGAGGAGGTGGAGGGAGATGCTCTGAGCTGGTTGCTTACTTTACCTGGAAAGGGAGAGGGCAGGGACAGTCAGCTGCTGGTGAGAGACCAGCAGGGCTGGACGCTGCCCAGGAGAACCAAGTGCCCTCTTGGCATCCTCAGTTCTCACCGCCCTCCTCCAGGTGCAGCCCCCATGCTTCCTACTACTTCCTGACTCTGTGCACTTCCTAATTTACTATGCAGGCTACTAATTAGTTACTCCTGCCACTATACTAGAAGACTTCTAAGAGCAGATGCTTGTATGGAAAGAAAGCCCTGCAGCAAAGACCCCAAAGCCCAGACTGAAGAGGTCAAACAGCCCAGAGGAGAGGCTGGCCCTCGAAGGGCCTCACAGGCAGCATTTAGGGCCTGAGGGCAGTGGTTCCCAACCTTTTTATGGCCACGCCCCACCTAAGCACCTCTAAACTCCTGAGATCCTCCTCCCAATTATTCAAAAAGTGAATTCATATTCACGTGGAGGAAGCCTAAAAGGCCATTAACCTGGCCTACACAAGCTTCCAAAGAACATGGCATCCGTGATAGAGAAAAATAAAAGGACAAAAGGACAGCTGAAATACTGAGGAAGAAATCACTAAGAAATGTTATAAAAATAATAGTAATATGAAGGGATATGAAAATACAGCAAATACAAGTTTAAAAACATATAATAAAGAACGGAAATGCATAAATGTCACTATATATTTATATACCATATACGAGGCCCCTAGAACCCTAAGAAATGCAAAAAAGTCACT